TTCTGAAGCCATTTTTCACCAGCCTGTTTTCTCAGCTGGGAAACTTCTGGTGTAGTGTTTTCAACAAAATATTGCATTTGGCATTACAAGAAAACCGAGCCTTTAAGACATTAAAAGGACAATCTCCGTGTTTGCCTTGGCCCAGGGAAGCAGGGCCAGAGGAATTTTAGATTTCTGTACCACCCAAAGAATAGGTAAAAGAAATTTTCCACTCCTCAACCCCATTTACGTGGGAATTCAAGAGTTGATTTAGCTTCGGGTTTTTTCCCCCCTTTTAAAGACTTCTCTGAGGACTTGGTTTGAGTGTAGATGGACTTCATTAGCGTGAAGGAATAAGCAAAGTGATAGCAATTCTCATCTAAATTCTGATGGACCAAAACTCAAACTGATTCTGAATGAATCTTAATTTTTCTTTGCAAGGCCCAGATCCTGATGTGTTTTTTCACACCAACATCTCCATCACGCAGACAGACAAATTTGGAATTATTTAATACTGGCGCAGTCTCTCTTTATTTACAGCAGAGGTAAGCCACATAGTTCATAGTGGCACCGGGAACAGCACTGGTAGCAGTGAGGATGGTGATGAGCTGACAGGACAGTGTCTACACTGAGTTTAGAGGTACCCAATAGCTGGCAGGTAATAAATTAGCGATGATTAAGTGCAAGTAAGAACTCTACTGCTATCACTTGGCTAATCAAAGGATACAGTGCCCTTCAAAGTAAAACCCCAACTCCACTGGAGCCAGAGGGTGGTGGTCAGTTTGCTGTCCTTCACAATTTATGTACAAAACCCCTATGTTTTCTACCTGTGAGATCCTACAAGTGTCATTCACTTTTATGTATTAGAGAGAGACTTGATCCAAATTCCTCCATGTAAAGAAGGGTCTATAACTAATCAATGCTTTGGTGCTTTTTTGTTTGCCTGTCCTAAAAGGAGAGAACTTTGCAGATAGTCTTATTAGAAATGTCACCATCCTGTACAGATCTCAGTCCCCCTCAGCTATGCAACAAAAGCAGATGATAAGAATTGTTAATGAGTATTTGAAGGCATATAATGTGCTTAAATTAAATAGATGATGAGGAAATGGTAGTGTGTACCTAGGTGTGCACATCCTTAAGCCTTGGCAGTGCCAGGTAGTGGGAATGTTGGCAGTAGTCTGGTGTCAGAACACCACAAAGTGGAATGGAAATACTTGGTCCTTGAACTTATATTCTCTTCAGACCAAATAAAAAAAAAAAAAAGTAAGAAAAATCTAATTAAGTTTTAAAGTGCATTAGGCAGATTATTTGGCCAGTACAGAAGTGGAGTGAAGAGCTGCCAAGGAGTACTAGTAAGTTCTGTTGAGCAAACTGGTAGTCTTGGAGAAAACATATATTGTCTGTCCATTTCAGGGCACTGCAGATCTGCAATATGCCTTGGTGAGTTTTGTCCTCTCCTCTTTATCTGGTACTATGCAGTACATGTATGTGTATGCCTCTATTTGCATGCATATTTACACATACATTATTATACACATCTCTACAAAAGCATCTATGAAATGCTTGATGAAGAAGAACTGTCTGTTTGTGTGGATATCAAACCTAGAATCCAGGCAGCTTCTCCTCTGACTTTGGGTAATTAGACCTCCTAATATCTAACCTCAGAAATAGATAAATTCAGTAATTTCTGCATAGATACTGATAAGACTCTATATTTGGAAATATTCTGTCAGTCAATGTATATACAATACACTTAGGTATTTGCCTTTGGAAATGTAATTTTAGAGATATCATTGTGCAAAAATACTAGATATATTTCTCCTTGAAGGACAGGCTTTAAGGCACTACACTAAGGCACTACCGGGTGTCATGGTTTCATTCTGTGCTTGTACAACACATGGGAGCCTTGGCGTTTGGATGGGGCAATTACATTTTGCTGTAAGACAAAGTGAATGATTCAGAAGGTAAGAAGGAAGTGAGGAGGTAATGACAGTGTGTGGGGAATCTGGAACAGTGCTGCCTTGTACTGTCAGGCTGGACCCTTCCAGTCATTTGAAGGGGAAAGAGTAAGTCTAATGAAGTGTGAGGGCTCTTATCTCATTCTTTCAGCAAAAGAAGGACCCTTGCCACATGGCTTCCCAAAAATGTCTTTGTTTACCCTGTAAATATTCCCAGTCCCTGCACTGAAATGCTTGCATTTATTATAACAGCCTGCCATAAACTTGCTTTGATAGTTGTTCTGAGAGGGGTTAAATACGTGCTCTGAGAACAGCATTATCAGGTGGTGAGGGTTCCTGGTAGTGGTCTCTATGGTCTCATTTGGTGCGATGCAACACAGAAGCTTAGCGTTGCCCACAGCACTCCATACTCCATCTCCCTTGGGTTTCCCTACGACTTCAACCCAGGTTTGCCTAATACTTTATGAAGTATGAGGAAATAGTTCCCATCAAAAAGATTGAGGTCAAGGGGAAATCATGATATTCTTCATTGTCACACCCTGGTAAATTCATTTTGATAACACTGATTGTCACTGCAGGAGACTTGTGTGTCATCCTTAATTGTCTTCTCTATAGTCTTTATAGCATTAGGACTCTGCCAGTGAGAACAGATACATTACGTTTAAAGGGAATTCTTTTGTCAATAAGTGGTGCACTCTTTTCTGGACACATGTGAACTAAGCTAACAAAGCTGTGTTTTGTCCACAGAACGCATCCATGCCACTGGGTTAGTGACAGTGAGGAAGGGAATGAAATCCATTCACTTCTTGAGATGACAGAGCATGGGACATTGCAGAACTGGTCCTGGTCACCCATAAATGGTGCCATGTGTTTGTGTAACTGCCTCCTTCCACAATAGGAGAGCATGCCCTCTTTGTCATAGATGGTGATGATGATGATGATGATCCTCACAGAGAGTCAAAAGCCCTGCTGTGAAGGCACAAATTGCAGGAATTTGCTTCAAATTGTGGTCTTTGCCTCACATCCTTTCATTATGTGTATCTGAGAAAACTTGGAGACTATCTTCTTTGTAGCCATGTATCAGTTTGTAGAAGCTACAGATTAGATCTTCTTTAACCTTTTCTTCAGGCTTAGCCTCTCCTCCCATGTTCTACTAGCTTGATACTGGATACTGTCCCACTGCTGGACTAGTTTGTTGATCTGCTTCTTGCCCTGAGAGAAAGGAAGATGATCCAAAAGTGGAACTGGGTTTTAGTTGTGGTTAATATTTTGCATTACCTGTCTACTTTGTTGAGTAGATGCTCAAGCCTTGGCCATAACTGTAATATAATGGCTCTCATTCAAAAATCAGGGTGTACCTACACTACCTTCTTGGAAGATGCTATTTCCTGAAAATGCACTGTACCCAGGTCATCCTGTCCCATTCATGTGGCTCTCTGTGACAGCAATACAATTAATTGCCTTTTTTTCCTCATTGCTGAACTGACTGGATCATCCTGGAGATGCTGAATTTGTTTTCTTGTTTGCAAAGTGCACACACTCCTATGGATTTTCACAAAGGAAACAGAAACATCTAGGAAAAAGCAGGAGTGGAAAGCCCTCAATTTCTTTTTCTATGAATAATTTAGTGCCAAGTTAACTGAAACATTTGAAAAAGAGATTTTTGGTGCCTAGCTTCATTAAGCCCTCTATCCCCAAATGTATTCTCTATCAGTGTCAGCATCCAACACTTCATCTCGTCCCAGTCACAGCAAAGACCTCATGGAAATGAAATGCAGGGGAAGGGAGAGGAAAAGCAGATTATTGTTGCCATTATTCATGTCTGTGTGTGCATATGGGCTCTATAAACTTAAAGTGAGGGAAAAAAACAAGAATCTGTATGAAAAGATGGAATGAAGTCCCAAGCCACATCAAACTTCCATTGCATGCACTCCTTTCGGGGGTAGGAGCCACACACTCTGTCACATTAAAGAGTGTTGTGCCACACGCCAACCCCCTTCTCTGGAGCACGTGTTTTCATCAGAGTATTATGTTCTCGTCCACTAAGCCTTTACCAGCACAAGGAGGACCTCCTTCTCTTGGCAGTGGTTTCTGTCAGCGATCTGTCTTCTGCAGCTATTTCCGTGGGAAGGCCCTCCATCTGGTGCTTGGCAGGGAAGGGATCTTTCCTCTCAACTGTTTTTCTCTCTCTCGCGCACCCTGTTTAAGGTATACCCTTTGGAAATCTTCAACTTCCAAGATTTGTTTTTGCACAAGGCATGTACTTTGTTTTACGTGCTCCAGCTTTCTTTTCTTTTAACAAAACACTACACCCGTGCCCTGCTTATCCTGGCAGAGGGAGAAGAATGCTGTTTGCTTTAACATTACCTTCAGTCTCAGTATGCAACAGGTCAAAAGATGTGACAAGTACACATGCTAATCCCTTTCCCTTTCAGTTAATAGAATAACACAGATGGGAAAGTTTACATTGGGATCTGACACTCGCTCCAAGCTGAAGTTAAGAAGGAGACAGGGTTGAACATTGCCTTTCAGATCAGAGTGGTTACTACACAAACTCACCTTCCCACTCAGCATCAAGTGGCTCCTGTCATCCTAAACTCTATTTGCTCTGCTAAGAATGTTCCCCTTGCCCTTCTACTCTCCTTTTGAGAGTAATAGATAGAATTGGATAAGACTTAGAAAGCTTTTGTAGAATGAAATATTCCCCAAGAATCAGTGATGTTCAAGTGAAAAAGTGTCAACATTTTCCACTGAAACACCCACCATTTGTTTTGAAGTGGTGATTTTTAAAACCTTTGACATTTTCTGAGCATAGAAATACCACCTAAGAAAATAATTCCCACTAAACCCAGATACTTTCTTAGAAATATTAATTTCATTTCAGTAAACCTCCATATTGCCAGTTTTGTCTTGTATAATCAGGCTGGTTACATTTCATTTGATTCTGTTTTCTGTTTCTTTGTAACCTCCAAAATATGTCCTCTGACATTCTGCCTGACAGAGCCCATTTGTAAGTTTGCATGCCTGAAGGTTTGCCACCTACGTTATTTCTGCAGGACACGCACAGAATTAAGACCTAGAATCATGCATGTGGTGAGAAAAGCTGCAGCAGTGACTGACTGAAAGGGCTGACCCATCACACACAAAACACCACTTTCTTCCCACCAGGTATGTACCACTTCACAATGTTTTTCATGAGACCCTTCTGCCAGCTCCCCATGAGGGAGCAAGTTTCTGGTTACCAGGAGCCCCTTAAAATTAAGGTTATGAGGGTATCTCTGTAATGAGATGAATATCTAGGATCTATTCTTAGATAGACATGGGCCTCAGAGTACAAGTCTAAACATGGAGAAAATACATTTGCTACAATTATTGTTTTAACAATCCCAGTTCAATAAACAAAGCTATATGCTAATTAATGAAAATAAGATTAGAAATACAATTTATACATAAAAATTTTACTGAGAAACACATATTTGCACTGAACTTACTAGCAATGAAAATATTTGTAATAGAAGGTTTGCCTTATATAGTAAGAAGGTGCCTATAAGGTTTGAATAGTCACCAGTGTCTTGTTTGTGGGAGGCACTCAGTGACCTGTGTTCTGATTAGAGAACTAAGATTTGTGTTTGAGAATCACTGCATATCTTTTTCATCTAGTTTCTTTTAAAATGATTCTATGATTCTATGAAAATGTGCTGTTTTAGAACTGCTTTTCACATGGCTTTAGACACTTCTGCGTGAATTTTGCAGCAGCTAGGTAGAGTGTGTACGTCTTTCAGGCTGCTACCTACTGATAACCATGATAATTCACTAATGCTTGATTCAAAACTCAAGGTCTCAATGCAGAATTCAAGATCTCAGTATCCAACCTGGCAGCAGCTGTGAGGCTCATTCATGCTGCCCAGACCATGCAGAGCAAAGAAAAGAGCTCAGTTTCAGAAGCTCAAAGCTTCATATATAAGCAAAGGGTCCACCTACATCACTGGAGAGATGCTTCCCCAGAGGGAGTATGAGATGCTTTTATTTTAGTGATGAGGGTGAGGTGAGAAGGGTCAGCATTCATCCAAAGGGAGGCCACGTGGGCCAAGACTCAGGTCCTCTCAGATTGGGCAGTTTTCTGAGGTTTTGGCATTGGGCTGATCTTTATTTCTGGTTGATGCATAAGGTGGGGACCTTCAGCGGAGCTGAGTGTCCCCCAAAAGCTCTGATCTGACTTCTGGATGTGCCTGTATCTTCTTCCTTTGTAGGAAAACCCAGGATAGCCACATTTTGACTATCACTGTAGTGATTAAATGTGAGTCAGGTGATTCCTCTTAGAGACCAACATTCCTATTAGTTCTGGTGGAAGTTTCTGAACTTCCACTTCTGGTGGAAGACTTCTGAACTATCCATTTGGGGCAAAGCATCTGCATGCTTTTGTCATCCTGACCTTTACTCTCTGTTGTTGTTTCACTTCTGACTTCTTAACTAAGAGCTTTAGCAAGGGAGAGCAGTTCGTGCCCATCACAGGGAAAGCTTTTGCAACATGAGTGACTGCCCACAAGAAACACAGCTGAGACCACCAACGATTTTATTTATTTTTGTTCTAATTTCTGCTGGCTGAGAAGCTCATGAGATACATCTCATTTCCTTGGAGGTCCCCAGGGAAGCAGGGGTCAGGCAATCCTTTTCTAGCCTGCTTTGGGCAACGCTGGTCCTATAACACTGCTAGCACTGCATTTAGGTCATTGTGCTGGTAGGTCCCTTAGCACCAGCAGATACGTAGGTTATTGAAGCCTGCTTAAACGAGGTCTGATTCAATGCAACAGGCAGCTTATTTCAGCCACCAAACTCGGGTGTTAGTAAACACTAATTTGCCGTGATTCAAGCCACATTTGAACAAGGTACTTGGAGAAAAATGGCTTCATGTCCTGAGCTACAGGTTGTGCAGAATTAAACAAAAATGTCTCATAATGGGGATGGTAATAGAGAGGCTCCACTATGGGTGTGAGGCACTGTCCTGCCTGTATTAAAAATAGCCCCCTCTCCATGGTGCCAGATGGAGGGTTTCAGAGCTGTATCTGTCTTTTAGACCTAAGTTTTAAAACTCAACCTGTCTTTGCATTTCTCTGCACCAGGTCATGCCCACAGGTATCACACACTGCAGTGGTAGCATCTAAGCTACATCATGCTTTGGCTAATTTGAGCAGGAATTTTGGTATCCCTGGGAATCATGCTCCCCCCTGCTCCTTCCAGTTTGAGGGAGGCCAGTAATTTGCTGGTGGCTGTTTAACCTCAGGAGGCATTTTCGCCTTCCCGTCTCCTACCCCACACAGCCTAAGATGCTCTTGCCAGCAAGCTGAGCTGAGGCTTGCCTCATTTCCTTCCCTGTAATTCCAGTCTTTACTTGGAAGAGAAAAGGGGTGCATAGATCATACTTACCTCTTCCTCTGACCAAGTCTACCAGTCCTTCCTGTGTATGGGAACACAGACCAAGTCACACTGATTTCTAGTAGTAATTCAGATAGAGATGGAGCCTTGACTTTAACTGGACCTTGCATATGAATGTCTCAAAGAATTCAAAGATTACAGTTCTGCCATGTAAACTCAAATATGCCAACACATCCATGTAACGAGCCATCCCTGCTGTACTTAGGACTTGCCTCTACTGATGTTATTTGGAGTATTTCAACCAAGTTTAATTTGAGCTGGATGATCTTCTTAGAAAGCATTTTTTGACAGTGACATTTATGGTTGTCGATTTCTTTAATTCAACCTATTTCCATATAAGAAAGATCTTTGCTTCTTAATGCAGTAGGTGCAATACAGACCTGATCCCTGTAAACTGACACACCAGGAATATTTACATCATGTCCACAACAAGTAGTAAAGTCCTGTGTCATAAAAACGTCTTATCTACCCAGAAAATGTGTTTTTCTAATGTGCTAAAGCATGGCATGTATGCACAGCTCATTTAAAACATGCAATTAAATATTAGTACATCTGTAGATTATAGAACTGTTTGGGAAAACCAGCTAGAAGCTAAATATCCAAGGAGTTATTTGTATGTTAAGATAACCTATGTTTATTCTAATTCCAGAGATTGTGTGACTGATCAAACCAAATTTATAACAAAACATTCAAAATATAGGTTATTTTTGGACCAAAAGGGTAAAGCTTCCCTCTGCCATGATACTGAAATAGGGGCTGGCAATGCCAGGGAACATGATGTGCTGAGACTATTGCGTGTCATAGTTGTCACACAGATCTCTTATTTCTTGTTTGTCTCCATCTCTCTCTTGTTATACATCTCGATATTCAGCTCCTTGGGCAGAGCATGATTTGGCATTCATTGCTAGAATAGTCATTATCCCAAAGGAGCTTATGGTTTGGTACTGAACGATGATAATGGATATTTAATAGAAGTCACAAATGAAAGCTTCACAGCTGAGCTTGAATTTACAAATGTAACATTATAAAAGGCTTTTGAGAAAGCACAAATTTTGCAGACTCGTGTTGAGTTCATCTTTCAGTCCTTGATGGATTCCAGGGAAGAGGTGACCACACACATCTAGCAGAGCTTCCTCCTGGTGATGCCTCTGTGAGTGCTTATCCATGCCCAAACATGGCAGAGAACACTGGGTCACATGTGAGTTTCCTATGAATCACATCTCCTTTTGTCCATCTCATCAACTCCCTTTCTGAGAATTCAGTTGACTTACAACTCCTGGTTTCTCTTTCCTTGGCTCTTCTCTTGCTTTTTACCTGGTGCCTGTCCTGCCTTGTTCCTTGGCACCATTGTGACACATACATGCATTTCAATGCCATTTGCAGAACCTGAGTGTGCCATTTGAACACAGTCATAGGCAAAGGAGAGAATGAAGTAGGTTAGAGTGGTACCATTCCTGGAAGATCAGCAGGAGATGGAAAATGTCCATGAATTCAGGGCTGTTTCTAGGCAGCCTAAATTCTACCTATGTTTTTGTGCCTAATGTTATCCACAAGATACTCTGAACCTTCATCATTGCCAAACCAATAGGAATCCAAAGCTGAACTAGGAGAATTAGATGGAATACAGCTGTTGGAGGCCACATGAGCCTGTGTCCTTTGCAGTTATGGAGCTTTCTGGCAAAGCTATGTGAATAATGGACTATTTTTGTTTTCTGACAATTCTGGAAACACGAAGCAAAAATATTTGTAAAGAGCTTTTGAGTGTGTTCAAAACAATCTGTCTCTGAAAAGTGTGAACTGAGAAGCTGTCAGGCTCCTTCTTGGGTCCAAGTTTCATTTCATTTCATTTTTGTTCATTTAATTGTCGGGGGTTTTTTTTAAATTTAATTTGCTTTAAGCTTTAAATAAAACCCCACAAAAGTTGAAATAAGTTTCAAATTTTTAACAAAAAATGAAGATCTTTCTTTTGAAAAATTTGCAAATAACCATTTAAATGTTTTTGAACAGTTTTTACTGTTTGAGATGGGCATTTTAAATCACTGCATTTTGGAGAAGCTAGGACAGAGCTGAGGAATATTTTGATTGATCAGAAATGAGATTTTGGTGAAATCTTTACTATAGCACTTTGTCCAGCTGTAGGCATCAGTCTTGCTTTTTTTTCCCTCTCTGTATAAACTCTTTAAGACACTACCAAAAACAGTGTGTGGCTTCACTCAGGGTAATGGCTGTGATATTGTTTGGTCCTAACGTTACCCATACAAGTATAAGAAAGGTATCATCATCTGGTTGCTTGGACTTTCTGACTTTCTAAGGGTTTATAATGTGAAACCCTTTGTAAAATTCTATTAACAGAAAAGCAGAAAGTCTGAGGAAAACACAGATGTAATTGAAATGACATAGGACAGTGTGTTTTGTACTTCTGCATGGGTTGGTTTTGTCTCATGCAGCATTGGCCAAATTGCTGAGCTGTGGGTTTATCCTGTCATAGGTGCTCTCTGCAGTAAGGTGCACATGTTTGCATCCAATGGAAAAAGGTATCTGCCCATCCATTCCCAAAGAAAGAAAAGCCACTCTCGCTTGCAGAACGTATATTCATCTGTTGATCCTCCGTGTAAATGGGGAGAGGCAGTTAAAGTGATGGAAGCAAGGCTAATGCTTGGACCTTTCTGGAAATAGGCCAACAAAAAAGAAATAAATGACCACAGAAAGTGGAAGACGATCAGCTAACTTTTCTGTAGAACAAGGAGGCTGCTGGTACCTCTTCAGGAACTCAGAGTCAAGTCCAGGTTCACACTCACTGTGAGGTTTTACTTCATTGTGTAAGTCACAAACTCATCTGGAGAAGTGATTCAGTGAAATAACTTGTCGCTTGCCTGGGATCACGCACAGATGTGCCAGGATATCCAAGAATGCTAAGTTATTTCTTTAATCAGAGGGCACTGGCACTGAATCAGCAGGAGGACGTGTTTGGTTTGTGTGATTCTCATGTGCAATTTCCTTGCTACCTCCTGAAACTATGAAATACAGTAAAAATGGACCCATGTGTGTGGAAAGCAGAGCCGGTATCTAGCAGATCTCAGTTGTGACTTTCATATCAGAGCTTCAGTAATTGTGGTGCATCTCAGGTGCATCTCAACGCCCAATGCACTACTTATTTTTCTTTGCCACTTCACACAGAACTGTAGGGTTATTTGCCTTTACCAGACAGGAAAAATTCTCTTGGAAAACATGGTTCAAAGTAATTGAAGAAAAGAACTTCTTTAACACTTTTTGCACCCTTTTTTCCTGCTTAACACATTTTACCTTACCTTGGTATCCTAAGGATGCTGTGGCTATGATCTTTTTGCTTATACTTACCATCGGTTGTAAAGTCTACTGTTATGTGATAGATATGATAGTGATAGTGTTTGTGTGCGTGACAGTATTTGGCAAGTGGGAGCTGGTAAGGTTGCAGTTTTGAGTACATAAAAAACATTCAGGGCCAGACTGAGCCTTTAGGAGAGCAGAGCTGTCTCTCTGCAGTGGTTATAGTGACAAATATAAAACATTCGTACAAAGGGAATATATTAGTCACCAGCTGTTATTATAAGCCTTTCACATTATTTAATGACCAGAGTAGGCTTTAGGCAGCCAAGCAGGAGACTGTATGGCCCCTAAGTGCCTCTTACTGCCTTGTAAAACCAGGGCATGATCTTACCCTCTCTTATCTCTAATGCTACATGTGAAACAAGACATACTGGTATTTGGCTTGCTAACCATCAATGCAAGCCACTGCAGGGCTTAAGGGTGTTTCATTAGAACTCCATTAAAAATGAACAATCAAGGTTTTAAAAAAATAATCAGAATCCAAAGAGCAAAGCCTCACAGTATAAAACCTACCCAGTCTCCTTTGCCTTTCCCATGAATAGAGGCATGTGTTGCTTTTAATTTGCAACTCTTGCAAGTATCAGGGGTGGCATAATGCTTTTATTTAGTTATCTATTTATTTAAAAAGAGTTTTAAGACCCTGCACAAATCTGGGCACAGGCTTGTGAAAGAGAACTAGCAAAGGCTCAGTGTGGTTGTGTTTTGTTCTGCTTTTAGATGCAATTTTATCCATTGCTGCAGCTGGCCGTTCCTGTTTTAACAGCCAGGCTCTTCAGACCATGTGCTTAGTTAGGTTAGCTTCTGAATTGCCAGGCTATATACAGATGATTGTGTCTGGCAGAATGTCTTTATGGTGTTGGTGTTATAGGAAAAGCATATGTCAGGCTATTGAATGCTGCTGGAAATATGATACCTGGCTGGTGTCCTGTGCCATCTATGATCGAAGTGATGGTGGTTCTGCAGTGACAGTCTGCTTAGTACTGTTTTTAAACTATTTTCCCTTAGAAGTGGCAAGCCTGATGGATATCTAAAACAAAGTTTAAGACAATTTAAGACAGATGAACTCTGGAGGGTTTTTTTGACTTGAGATTATTAGAGCACAGAGTAATTAAATCTGAAAGCTCCTCTGATCTGTGTTTGCACTGGTTGCTAGTGAGAAATCTACAGGAAGAAAAGTCAATACAATGAAAATAGTTGCCTTGGTATATTGGAAGATCAACACAGTTTTGAGTGTCTGCTCTCATCAGGAAGAAGATAAAATGCAAGTGAGATACTCTGTGTAGTGTTACCCTCTCAGGGAAGCAAGTGATGGTAAACTGGAGCTGTCAGGGGACCAAGCTCAAAGCAGTGGTTTGATACAGCATTCATGTTCAACGTGGGCAACCTCATCCTGGTTCATTCAGCATCCTCAAGGTAATAAAAAGTTTCTTGGTTCAATAGCCAGCTCTTTCACATGCCCCTGTCTCTGCCCCGCAGCAAATCATAGGCAGACAGAAAGGACACTATTCTGAACATTTTTACCATTAACTTTGCTCACCCAAGCTGTCTCTGTAAAGCAGGTAGATAGAAAAGTTCATAAGCATTTGCGGTGTTAGGAACTTGGCATAAAGTATCTGAAACCGTTTGCTTTTTAGCCATCTTTCTTTGACCAAGATGAGTTGAGAGTTCAAGATCTCTTGTCAAACAGACAACTTCAGCATCCTTTGGCATATTCTAACAATCACGTTGAAAAACTTTGTTTGAACTTTAGTCTCTAAGGTGTTACTTGTTTATATGTAAACAAATTCAAGTTATGAAATGAAAAGTATCAAGCTTTCACAAGCGGATGTAGTGATAGGACAAGGGGGATTGGTTTTAAACTCAAAGAGGGTAGATTTAGATTAAACCTTCTGCAGAAGCTCTTCCCTGTGAGGGTGCTGAGGTGCTGGCACAGGGTGCCCAGAGAAGCTGTCGCTGCCCCATCCCTGGCAGTGTTCAAGGCCAGGTTGGACACAGGGGCTTGGAGCAAGCTGCTCTAGTGGAAGGGGTCCCTGCCCGTGGCAGGGGTTGGAACTGGTCCCTCCCAACCCAAACCTCTGGGATTCTGTGAAGTTGGTTGTCCTAGGAAAAAAACTTAGGGAAGACAGTGCCTGTTATCACTCTGTGTATCTCCACTTGGCCTTTTTAATTACTGCTTCCCTCTGTTAGAAAGCCTGTTGCTGGGGGAAGATGCAGAATGTGCTGTAACCTGTCCACCAGCAGTGGCACAGGGGGTTATGCTGGTTTTGTAGGGCATTGCTGATGAAGTGAAGGGATCGTGCACTGCTGGCTCTGAAGTGAAAACAATCACTCTGAAATCTCAGAGCTTCCTTAGAAATGTAAAAAAATGGGGTGGGAGCATAAGTTAATTGTGCTTTTACACACTGTTATACTTGTCACTGTGCCAGGCTCTACATTTCTTCCAAGAGTGAAATGAAAACTCCAAATTCATGTGGTTATGAAACAATTTCAGTATGAGTACTCAGTGAAGAATTATAAAGTGGGAAGGACTCAGTCCTGTTTCACAGCTGGTTGAGAAGGGTCTGAATTGATCAAGGCTTCTTCCAGTTTGGAGGAGCCTTTTGGAGTGTATTGAAACCATTCTGCAGCTGTATGTTGAATGTATATAAGGTACTACAGAAAAACTGATTTGTTATGACATTTCTTTGATTAGGAGATGGGGCAGCTGGCAGAAGGCATCACCATCATTCCAGGAAATCTCATTTCTCTGCAACTGGAGATTTAGGAAATTAATCTGGTTTGCCCTGATTTACACCAGAATAAATTCATACATTGGAAACTGGGCATGGCAAGAAATCACTGGCACTGCAGGGGCCTTGGGAGAAATAATGGTTGCAGTGAGAGACCTTGATGAACAAGGACCAAACACCATTTTCTCCCCTGCAGGAATAGAGCTGAGGTACCTGAAGGGCTTTGTAAACTAAGCTGGACTCAGCTCCATTTTGTTTGGTCCTGAGGCTGAGAGGGTGCAACATCATGAAAAAGTCACTTTATCAACCCTTGTGATTTCATCCTGGACCATGTGTGCTTCATAGAGACTATAATTGCAAGGTTAGTCTCGATTTGCATCACCACAAAAGGACAACTGTCTGAAGTATCTCATTGGACAAATGGCTTATTTTTGTTATTAGAGATGAATCAAAGGGGAAAAAAATGAAGAAGGAGGAGGTGAAAATACCTTGAGGCTAAATCTAAACTGGAGCAGATCTACTCTTTTAGGTACATAAACTGAAACCCTTACGTACGTGTCATGGTGTGTTAGCTTGGGTGCTTAACTCCCATTGATAACACCATGTGCTAACTCAGGCACCCAGGTTTCCCTGTAATGCTCTTACTATGAAGAACAGTTGGTCTTGGGGGAAAACATTTACATAGATGACAGCTATTTTCAGGAAAATGAAAAGTACTGGGTGAAAAAGGAGGTTTTGACATTGTGTGAAATATGGGGTTTACACACAGTAGTTTTTGCTGTGTGTATACAAATGGGTGATTTACCATATATTGATTCACACACCATTTGTAAGTGTCTAATTTATTTATTTACAGAGATGTATGGAAGCCATGGTTTGAAAAGCAGTTTGCAGAACATCTGGTATGTCAACAAGGTAACCTTTTCATTTACTTGTTGGTAAAAATGTCAATATAATGAACCTGAACTCCACATTGGTTTACACAGATTTCCTGGCAGACAAAGCAGTAAGGATTTGCATGTCACTCTTAAGTGACATGTGCCCTCCAGTTTTGAGTAGTTCACACAGCTAAGAGGGATAAAGAGAGTTGAGCACGTGGCTGGCTCTGTATGTGCTCACACTGGCAGTTCAAGCTGTGTGGTGTGAAACATCTCATCTTGCTTTGACTTCCAGTTTTTTAAAAGTGGCCTTTGGTTTTTCACTGAAAATGAGGGGTTTTTGGGTTTTATTTTTTATTTTTTGGTACACGTTAAACAGATGTGAACAGAGGTGACAACCTGAAGGCGACTTTAGATCGTGGTAGCATGTACTCCATGAGCCTTCTCTGTTTTCTACAGACAAATTTATTGTACAGCGGTGTGACAGAAGAATCTGAGGATTCTTGATTACTCTTAATAATATGCCAGTGGGATTGACAACAATAATACATTATTTACACCTTTTATATTCCTACCTGTACAAGGTGAGTCACATAAATCACACATAAATCACATTTTGTTTGCTCTGTGACTCATTACCTGACACTTTTTGAATAAGAAAGTCATTTTGTACAAAGAGGGTGGTAAAACACTGGCACAGGTTGCCCAGAGAGGTGGTGAATGCACCATCCCTGGAGACATTCAAATCCAGGCTGGATGTGGTTCTGAGCAACCTGATCTAGTTGAAGATGGCCTTACTCATTGCAGGGAACCTGGACTAGATGGGCTTTGAAGGTCCCTTTTAGCACAAACCATTCTGTGATTCTGTGGTTCTGTTCCATGTTGTTGATACTGAATAGCAAAAAACCTCACTTCAACATAGAGTCAGAGTTAAAGCTCCTCCAGCTCCAACCCCTGCCACAGGCAGGGACACCTTCCACTAGAGCAGCTTGCTCCAAGCCCCTGTGTCCAACCTGGCCTTGAACACTGCCAGGGATGGGGCAGCCACAGCTTCTCTGGGCACCCTGTGCCAGCGCCTCAGCACCCTCACAGGGAAGAGCTTCTGCCTAAGAGCTCATCTCAGTCTCCCCTCTGGCAGGTTAAAGCCATTCCCCTTGGCCTGTCCCTACAGGCCCTTGTCCCAAGCCCCTCTCCAGCTTTCCTGCAGCCCCTTCAGGCACTGGAGCTGCTCTCAGGTCTCCCCTTCAGGAGCCTTCTCTTGTCCAGGCTGACCCAGCCCAGCTCTCTCAGCCTTTAATGTTTCCTTAAAAGTTCCAGTTGAAAGAGCAGTTGTAACGTGATTATTTTCTTATTCATCCCTTTGGCCAAACTCCATCAGGTGAGGTGCCTGGCCCAGCCCTCAGCAGTTCCTGTGGGTTGTTGCTGCTCAGAGCTCTCCCACAGCTCCCTCAAACCCAGTTTCCACTTCAGGGAAATACAGGATAGCAAGGATCTGCAGTGGCACCCAGCAGGTATCCTGACTAGGGTGCCCAGCATGCAGGACGTGCAGTGGAGCTCCCTTTCTCTGCAGTCTCAGCAGATCCTGAGATACTTTCACAGTTCCCAGAATTTGATGATGTGGTTTTATTTTTAAATGTCTTCAAAAATCACAGTAACAATTAATTAATTCATTCATTAATTAACGCAACACTTCTGATTCTGACCCTATTCAAGCAAACTTTTTAATTATACATTTCATGCTTTAAGCCTTTCCTTTCATTTTTACATTTAATGTTTTAGGCTGGGCCTTTTTACCAGAATACAGAACTTCAGTGTCCTCTCTGGCAGATAAGATGCACATGAAACCAGCTATAAGGGAACTTCTATAAAGGTTATGGGGGAAAGAAGGAAGTTCTGGAGGATATTGAGCAAGACAAAGGATAAGACTGGTGGGAAATAAACATACTTATGAAGAAGCAATACATAGAAGTCACTAGTTGGGACCTTATTGGCTGATATTAGTTGGGTTTGGCATTTTTTAATGTACCTAAACAATAAAAACAAAACCCCTATAAATACCTGCATGGCTCTGAAGTTTATTTATTTATTTACTGCCTAGTGTGTGACTCCTGATGAGTTTTCCCTCCAGCTGTGTAGATCAGGACCCCATCGAACCAGGGCTCTGTGTAACATTACATACAATCAGAGCATTATTTAGAGTGCTGGGCATGCTTCCCACTGCATTAAAATCAGATGGAGTTCCCACAGGCTATGTTGCTGGTACAGTCCTCTAAAGGTCTTTCCCCTTTCCCCTTCTGTTGGGCATTCATTCTTTTTCTTCATCTGGATCGGAAAATGGCACAAGTGAGTTGCAGCCCTAATCCCATCAAGTTTCTTTGCTGCGTAGCCAAAATCTGCTCAACTCTTTCCCTCTTCTGTATTTTTGCTGTAATGTTAACTTTCTCTGCTGCTTATTTACACAGATGGAGGCAACACGTTTGACTGTGAAAACAAAGGTCCACAACTGCATCTACAAAACCTCCGCACACACAAGCGGCTTCTTTTTTGTGACCTCTTGTTTCTCAGCTTTAGATTCAATTGTTTCGACTCTCAGCTTCAGACTCCTGGAAAGATCTGACTCCTTGATTCACTCTTCTTGAGTGTGAATCACTTGACCACTCCTCTTCATTTTAATGCTTGTTTCTCTTTCCTACTTTTTCCTGCTCTGGACTAGTAGCAAAACAAGAAACCACCATATCAGCTAAGCCTCCTTCTAATGCACAGACAGCAGTCATCTGTGTGTGCACGCAAGTTGGCTTCTTGGTGGATGCTGAGCCCCGTATTCAGAGGCTGCAGGGAGCCTGGCAGCACATACTCATTCCTGGAGAACAGAGCTCCTTGCTTTTGTATTGCTTCTGTGTAAATGCAAGAGGGCTGAAAGCAAAACCACTGATGAATGTGGATCGGGAGGGAAAAGCTAGCAGACACCTCCAAATGCCCTGGAAGCTTTGATCACTTGTGCTATGAGGGAAAGAGCAGTGACTAGAGGAGAGTTTGACTGAACTAGAAATGAGGTGGGGAAGAGAATAACCAAAACAAAAAGGCACAGGGTAACAGTTAGTTGAGAGGAGAGGCTCATATGGGGTTGAGTTTCATTTTAAGGTTCTGATTTATCTGAGCTGAGCATGGCATCAGCTGAAATTCAGAACGAAACTGGGACACAAACTTAATTGCAAAACCAGCTGAAACCACAGGACGCAGTCACAGAAAATTCTCACTCATTTGAGGCTGGCATAGGGTTTCTCTCTGAGCTTCAGGAGGAGGTTTTGGGGGCCCCAGAACAGATTCAGGGAGTTAAAGTTCAGTTGCTTTCCTAAGCTCAATCCTGAGGTAGCAAAAGTATTGAGGGAGATGATTAGAGGGCACCCACATAAGTAGGAGTGACACAAGCAGTAAGTGGCAGGCTGGCACATTGCTTTTCCACCAAACAGCAAGATTTGTAGGGAGATATGTTGTAAATGTTGGTGTAAACAGATCTGGTCACCCTAAAATGCCTCTGCTCAATGCCATGGCAGTGAGGAACACAGAAAAGTTGAAGGTTAATGGCTGTTTCTCTTGCAAAAGAAGGGACCGAGAACCTCAGACACGCTGAGACCAGGCAGCCGCAGCTCCTCCGCTGCTCTAATTGCCAACTGTGGGTGCCTGATTCCTGGAAATCAGGGAGAGAGGGAGGTCTGTGCCTGACATGAACAGGCTTGTGGTTGCGTTGAAAAAACCAAAACAACAGCTTAAAGCAAGTCATTCCCGCAGTGTCACTCCCTTGCCTGTCACTGTCTCACTGCCATTTCCTAAGGGAGTATCTCCTGCTCCAGACATTTATCCTGCTTTGAGTTTTGCTCCTCCTGCCACTGTACTTTCTTGGCTATAAAGGCAGACTTGGGATCTCAGTAGCCTGAATCTTTGTATCTCAGCAGCCTGAAGTGTACTTTTTCTATACTAGATGTAGATGGAGATCCTGAGGGATGGGTTCAGGCTCAGGGAGGTGTTGCACAGGGAGAGTTTCTTGCACAAGCACTCACCCTGAGCTATTGGTTGTCCCTTCACCTTGCTGTGACTCCCTTGTTGTGATAAGGGTGGAGGTAAGCAGGGAGGAAGCTGCAGAGGTTTTACTTCTTTGTGGTGTTCCAAAAAGCCAGGAATTTCTGAGGCTGGGAGACGTGTTGCTTTCAGCTTTAAACTGTGCTCTCCTTGGGTGACCTGAAGGGCATGGGATTTTCAGGAGGTTGTGGGGGAAGCTGAGCGTCTGATGCAAAACCTGTTTATATCAGGAAAAGTGGGGAACTGGGTAGCAGGGAAGTGAATGCTTCTGGGATAGGCACCCGTTGAAACATGAGGGTTTTTCTCATGCCTTTTGGCATTTAGAGTTAATGGGTGTGAAGTCAGGGTATTCACTTCTGCTTTTCATGTGCATGTTCAGTGTGATGCATGTATGGTGTGGAATTTTGCGATTGCTAGATTTCTCCATCAGTTGTGGTTTGTTTCTCAGAGTTTTACAAGGGATGAATGGGATATCACTTGAGGGTAAAACATAAGGTAGTGTATCGGGGAAGGGAATTACAAGAAAAATAGTATCTGAATGCCGTTTGTCTTACAAGCAAGCACATGTCCGTGTTTATTATTTCTGAAGGCTCTCGTTAGTTGGACATTGACCAATCATGACATCTGGTGCAAGTTATTGTCCCCCAGAGTTGTTTCACACAGTTTGGAGTTTGCTTTTTTAAATCCACCACAAATAAGCCCAGAATTATCTCCCTGTCCCCGCAGAAGCAAGCGGGAAGCTCCTGGGAAGACAATGCATTCTCCAAGGAGGTGGAAGAGGGTGTTTGGGTCCTCTCTGCCCTACCGTGGGTTGAGCAGTGAAGCCCCCAGTTCACACTGTGAAAGAGAACCCCACTGAGGTCCATGGGAGGTGAGACAATGGTCATTTCATTAAAAGAGAAACAAAGACTGAGTCCAGACAACTCCAAACCTTCTGAACTACCATTCTGAGCTAATGCACAAGTGTGATGGGAACGGCTGAGGGACCTGGGGGCTTCAGTCTAGAGAGGAGAAGGCTCAGGGGGGACCTGATTGCTCCCTACAACTGCCTGACAGGAGGATGGAGCCAGGAGGGGCTGGGCTCTGCTCCCAAGGAACAAGGGATGGGACAAGAGGAAACGGCCTCAAGCAGCACCAGGGCAGGTTTAGGTGGAGCTGAGGAACAATTCCTGCCCCAGAGGGTGCTCAGGCATTGGAACAGGCTGCCCAGGGCAGGGCTGGAGTCACCGTCCCTGCAAGTGTTCGCACACTGTGGAGATGAGGCCTCAGTGCCATGGGTTAGTGGTGGCCTTGGCAGGGATGGGGAACGGTTGGACTGGATGAGCTTAAAGGGCTTTTCCAGCCTCACTGATTCTGTGACTCCGTGATCGTCCCAGGCTGCATCAGGGATCCTTGTGTTGGTGTTCGCAGGTTTGCGCATTGTCGACACCTCCTGTGATGATGTGGGAGCCAGGAAGGCCGCAGCCAAGTGACTTCCCCTTTCAGCCCGTCCCCCTTTATCAGGGAAGAAATAGTGTCTGTTTGTTTAGGTGAGATATTAGTCTGCCCCTGGAGCTCCAGGTCACTGTAAATGTAACACAAGCCCTATTTCCTGTTAGGAAAGGGGAAAAAATATGCCTGTGAATTGTCTCTGATGTGCTGCCAATTGTCAGAGGAGATTCAATTTGGTGCAGAATTACTGTGCTCTTAAAGAGCTGCACTGGTGACAGAGATTTAGGGCAGCTTCTACTGCCAGAAATGGGAGATTTGTCTTTGATTTCCCTAAAACCAGGATTGCAGCTGGTACCAAGTTGTCCTTCTGTGTTGCTCAAGGCAAAGTGGCTGGTTTGGAAGGGAGGCTGAAGCAATGGTTCAGGTTAATGGGACTGTTGCGGGATGTCCTTCAACCACCTGCACGTGGTTGAAGGGCAGAGCCTGCAAGGAGGCTGGGCAAGTGTTTGGGGTGAGTCTGGGAGGTGCCGGGGCAGCTTTCTAACAGTGCATTGCTATGAGAAAGAAGAAATGGCATTTTTCTTGCCACTGAGCCAAAAGACCAGACCAAAAGAGATAAGAATTTACTGTGTGTGTTTGATGCACACATGTGTTCACTGTTAATCCAATAAAGCAAATATGTGACCTGTGAAATGACCCACAGCTGCTACAATAAATAGTGCTATAGATCACTCATGTATTCTGCTTTCTTTTGCATTTCCTATATCAAGGTCAATTTCAGCTGTCATCTAAGCAGGGTACGCCTTCCACAAACACAGCAACATGAGGACAACTGAACTAGGTTCATCTATTTTGCCTCTCTTATGATAGAAAAACCCCCACATATCCGCCCCCCCCGTCCCCCCAACTGTCAATGATGTATTTTTCCCTTCTTTTTTATTGTATTTATTGCAAGGAGTAGTATTTCAACTGGGTAAAGGTCCAGTGGTCTTAAGTGAAGCTGATGTTGACAGAGTAGACCAAGCAACATCCTTGTCTTCAGAAATATTCGTAGAATCCCAGACTGGTTTGAGCTGGGAGGTGTTGACACGGGAGTCACGGACAACGCAGAGACGATCAATGTGATCAAGCGATTGCCAAATTTATGACAAAGCCTTAACCCCTTATATACTATTTCTTACATGCACTCACAGTGATTTGGCATATTATGATTGGATACATGTCTTGAAGACCCTTAGTGACTAACATATAATTGCTTAAGCACAGGTGTGAGAACTTGACCTCAAAAGCTTGCCAACAGTCCACAGTTCTCATTAACTCAGTGAACTCCAGCTTCTTCTTATCTTGCTTGCTTAAGCTTCCTTGGACCTCTCATGGCCTTGCTGTATCTTTCAGGATTATTCAGAGTTTATGTACTAATTATCCATTCTCCCGTGAGAACACTGTCTCCACATCTCCCCCTTTTTGTTTTATATATGTTTTGGGTGACCCTACTTGAGCACGGGATTTGGGCTAGATCATATCTCCAACATATGTCAACTACAGGCTGCTGGGCCTGCCCCTTTTTTCTCCTGTATGGCTCTCTGATAACAGGGGAGGCCATCCTTCAGGTCAAGGTCTGGCATGGCATGTGTCCCCACCGCTCCACTCCTGCTGGGTTGCAGCCAACAGCAGAGCTAAAGGTTCTTCTTGGTGGCAAACACAGAGGCCAGCCCAGTCTTGCCCTTGACTGTGGTAGCAGGTATTTTGTCAGCCTCAGTCCTTGCACCTTGTTGTCAATGCAGTTTCACCTGCTTCATCCAGTAACAAGTGGGTACTACAGCAAGGCACACACAAATTTACGTTAGCAGAGTAACTATTACAGGGTACAGCAGCATGTTGAAGATGCTGATGGCAGCGAGGGACTAGCCAAAGAAATTTCTTACCAGTGGAATTCTCCCACCCTCTTAATTTGTTCCATCACCTGCTTTATAACACTACCATTGTATTAGAATCTTTCCAGCTTTTGCCTTAGCATTTTCTAGCAGCTACTGCAAATTTCCATACTCTAACATCTCTTTTACAAGTGACAAATCTGTACAGTACAAGGTGTAGTTCCTCATTAGGAACTGGCTAGTAAATACAGGTGGTTTTATAGACAAAATCACAGCCTCTAATAATAGCTACTCTACAAGCACACATATTCAGGATGTTACTTTTCAGTTGCCCTGAAGTGATGTTTTGCAATCATTTGTTTTCCTCTATCTCATTCTGCTTGGGGTATTCACGGTCAGCTCCTGTAGCTGAGGCATCAGGTTTTTCCATTCATCTGTCCAGCTCATGGCAAGGCTTGACAAACTTTGCAGGCAGTCGCCATGGACCTGTAGGCAGGAGAACACAAACATAGCCCCTCCTCCAGGTTATCAGTTCTTGAGAAGCAGACAGGTTAAACTGCACGTTGTTAACAGCCACGGAGTTTGCTGCATCATTGCCTCTTTTTTTTTTTTTTTTTTCTGCCACCCTGATGCTGCTTAGGTGACGGCTCATACAGCCTGTGGTTGCACTGCCCCTCTCGCTTTTTCAGTTAGCAGTTCTTATTTCAACCGATCTATCTGTTCCTCCAAGTCTTGGGTTCACCCCCAGGTTACCTTAAACATACTAAGCAAGGCTACTACCACGCACCCACTGTGTTGCAGGTGCTCTTTAGGCTTTGTGGTGTCTCTACAAACTGCCTCAATACCTCAATAGACTGAGAGGTTGGGGCCTTTTTTTTTTGGGGGGGGGGAGGGGTGTTGGGTTTTTTTTTGTTTTTTTTTTTTCCACTCCTCGGCTCTGGCTTCCATCCTGGCCGTTCCGCCAGTGGAGCACCGGGAGCTGAATCGGAGGGCAGCTTTTTTTTTTCTTTTTTTGAACATGTGTACCGAACTCTTATCAAATAACTTTTTATTTTCTCCAAATCGCTCACCCTGCTTTGCACGGCTACAAACGCCGGCCTGCTCGGCAGCAGCTACAGCTGCCTGCCTGCTTCAGCAGCAACCATAAATACCTGCTGCAGCCGCACTTTTGCATTAACCCTTTCTTGCCCGACATGTTAAACTGCTACCGGTTAAAAACTTTTACGTGAACCCAACAACAAAAAATACACAGAACACCGTCTGCCCTCAACACACACACACACTTATGGGATCCCACAAGCACGCTCCACACAACTACAATATTTGAAGCACAAAATCCAGACAATCATTACTCCCACTACACAGTCCCACATACAGAACGTGGCACAAGGACCCTGTGGAGACTAACAGCAAACCAGCTCCGAGAAGCATCATTGCAGTGCGAGGTGGCAGGCTCATCCTTAGTGGGCGTCCCCGCAGAGGCTCTGCCTCCCCCACATCCCATGAGGCTTGGGCTTTTATGCTGACCAAAATGAACACTCATTCCGACACAGGTGGCTAGCCTATGTTGGAAGAAGTGACCAGCAATATCTATAAAGGTCTCCAAAGGTCGATAGAAACCTGGACGTACTTATTTTTACCAACTTCTAGTACATGAGTATCACAGAGAAACTGTGTTAAATGAGTTGTACATGGGCTCCCAAGTCCACAGTCCGTCACAGTATGCCCAATACCCCTGATAAGAGCATATGAGAGACCTTCCCACCACCAGAAAATCACACAATACGTCTGTATCCCGCACTGATCTCGCTTCCCTGGAGGTTTGGGGGAGGGGGCTGTGGGGGTGGGGTTTTTTTTTGGTTTTTTTTTGTTTGTTTGTTTACTTTAACATAAAAAAGGTTGCTCCCTTCACTTTAAGAAGGACTGAAAACATCCATAAAACGGATGTCCTAAGCTCAGATTTCAATTCATTCCATCACTGACAAGGGGGGTGTCCTGGAGCGGTGCTGACTCTTTCCAGGGTTTCACCCATCGAGCTGGCACCCACTGCAAACCGGAATCTGTAATTTACACACATATAACCTCAACCTGTTAGTTTTACTTCCACAGGACCTTTCCAAATGCCGGTTTCCAAATCCTTGTACTGGACCAGAATACCCAGAGTTTTAGTTATATAACCTGAACCTAATGCCTGACTATGTATTATAGCAGGGGAGTCATTAAAGTCTCCTGTCAATAGCACAAAAAATCATAACATATACAGCTTGAGTATAAGAGGATTTTAACCCATATGTGGTCACTTGTTTGTCAGGCCTCCTTAACTATTTTGAGATCAAAAGCTTCCCCCTGCTGTGTAGTAAACACAGGATATGCAGAGAGGCCCATTGCAAAAAAATTCACCTGTAATAATTGCATCTTTGATTAACCCATGCCAACAGTGCGCAGGATTTGTGCCCCCCGATACCTCTCCCCCCCCCCCCCCTCTGTTTGCCTTCTTTAAGGAAGGGGTTTTATGGAGGATAAGGTGGAGGTGCCAATGGAGATGTCTCAATCCCAGTCTCGAGGGCTTCAAGCTTTTTCATCAATTGTTGCAGCTGAGCGTCTCCAAGGCCAGTGAGTAGCTGCTGATGAGCTGAGCAGACCGACCCG